TGACCCGCGTACTGTAAGGCTGATATCACTCTACTCATTGGGATTGGTTACTTATCTCTCTTATCTAGTAGCAGAGGGGGTTAAGTGTTATGGCTTCCCCTGTGCTGTTTCAGTCCACTCTCTCTACACACATCACAACTCCTGTGTTCAGTAATGTCCCATTGCACTTGGTGAGTTATGCCTTGCTCCTAGTGAAGAGTTGGAGAGGAGAGGGAATTCCGTCTTCCAAATAATTCCTATAGGGACTCTGAGTTGGCCTACAGTACCTACCATTTACCATCTAACCCTAACCCTCCTACCATCTAACCCTAACCCATCTACCATCTAACCCAACTACCATCTGACCCTAACCCATCTACCATCTAACCCTAACCCTCCTACCATCTAACCCATCTACCATCTAACCCTAACCCTCCTACCATCTAACCCTAACCCATCAACCATCTAACCATAACCCTCCTACCATCTGACCCTAACCCATCAACCATCTAACCCTAACCCTCCTACCATCTGACCCTAACCCATCTACCATCTAACCCTAACCCTTCTACCATCTAACCTTAACCCATCTACCATCTAACCCATTTACCATCAAACCCTAACCCATCTACCATCTAACCATTGCCCATCTAACCCTCCTACCATCTAACCCATCTACCGTCTAACCCTAATTCTCCTACCATCTAACCCTAACCCACCTACCATCTAACCCTAACCCAACTACGATATAGCCCTAACCCATCTACCATCTAACTCTAACCTTCCTACCATGTAACCCTAACCCTCCTAGCATCTAACAACTAACCTTCCTACCATCTAACCCTAACCCTCCTACCATCTAACCCTAACCCATCAACCAACTAACCCTTACATTTCTACCAACTAACCCTAACCCTCCCACCATCTAACCCTAACCCATCAACCATCTAACCATAACCCATCTAACCCTCCTACCATCTAACCCTAACCCACTGAGGCTAGGAAACACTGTCACCACCGATAAGTCGAGAATTTCAATTAGCATTTTGCTACGGCTGGCCATGCTTTCCACCTGGCTACCCCTACCCCGGCCACCAGCTCTATATCCATCCTGCCCTGCCTTTCGAAAGTATTTGAAAGCCAAGTTAACAAACAGATCACCGTCCATTTCGAATCCCACCGTACCTTCTCCGCTATGCAATCTGGTTTCCGAGCTGGTCATGGGTGCACCTCAGCCACGCTAAAGGTCCTAAACGATATTATAACCGCGATCGATAAAAGACAGTACTGTGCAGCCGTCTTCATCGACCTGGCCAAGGCTTTCGACTCTGTCAATCACCGCATTCTTATTGGCAGACTAAATAGCCTTGGTTTCTCAAATGACTGCCTCGCCTGGTTCACCAACTACTTCTCAGATAGAGTTCAATGTGTCAAATCAGAGGGCCTGTTGTCTGGACCTCTGGCAGTCTCTATGGGGGTGCCACAGGGTTCAATTCTCGGGCTGACTCTATTCTCTGTGTATATCAATGATGTCGCTCTTGCTGCTGGTGATTCTCAGATCCACCTCTACGCAGACGACACCATTTTGTATACATCTGGCCCTTCATTGGACACTGTGTTAACAAACCTCCAAACAAGCTTCAATGCCATACAACACTCCTTCCATAGCCTCCAACTGCTCTTAAACGCTAGTAAAACTAAATGCATGCTCTTCAATCGAACGCTGCTTGCACCCGCCTGCCCGACTAGAATCACTACTCTCGGCGGGTCTGACTTAGAATATGTGGACAACTACAAATACCTAGGTGTCTGGTTAGACCGTAAACTCTCCTTCCAGACTCACATTAAGCATCTCCAATCCAAAGTTAAATCTAGAATCGGCTTCCTATTTCGCAACAAAGCCTCCTTCACTCATGCTGCCAATTATGCCCTCATAAAACTGACTATCCTACCGATCTTTGACTTCGGCGATGTCATTTACAAAATAGCTTCCAACACTCTACTCAGCAAATTGGATGTAGTCTATCACACTGCCATCCGTTTTGTCACCAAAGCCCCATATACTACCCACCACTGTGACCTGTACGCTCTTGTTGGCTGGTCCTCACTACATATTCGTCGCCAAACCCACTGGCTCCAGGTCATCTATAAATCACAGCTAGGCAAATCCCCGCCTTATCTTAGCTCATTGGTCACCATAGCAACACCCACCCGTAGTATGCGTTCCAGCAGGTATATCTTACTGGTCATCCCCAAAGCCAACACCTCCTTTGGCCGCCATTCCTTCCAGTTCTCTGCTGCTAATGACTGGAACGAACTGCAAAAATCTCTGAAGCTGGAGACTCTTATCTCCCTCACTAACTTTAAGCATCAGTTGTCAGAGCAGCTTACCGATCACTGCACCTGTACACAGCCCATCTATAATTAGCACACCCAACTACCTCATCCCCATATTGTTATTTATTTTGCTAATTTGCACCCCAGTATCTCTATTTGCACATCTTCTTCTGCACATCTGTCACTCCAGTGTTAATACTAAATTGTAATTATTTTGCACTATGGCCTATTTATTGCCTTACCTCCATAACTTACTACATTTGCACACACTGTATATAGATTTTCTATTGTGTTATTGACTGTACGTTTTGTTTATTCCATATGTAACTCTGTGTTGTTGTTGTTTTTATCGCACTGCTTTGCCTTATCTTCGCCAGGTCGCAGTTGTAAATGAGAACTTGTTCTCAACTGGCTTACCTGGTTAAATAAAGGTGAAAAAAAGATATAAAAAAATAAATAACATCTAACCCTAACCCTCCTACCATCTGACCCTAACCCATCTACCCCTAACCCTCCTACCATCTAACCTTAACCCATCTACCATCTAACCATAACCCTCCTACCATCTAACCTTAACCCATCTACTATCGAACCCTAACCCATTTACCATCGAACCCTAACCCATCTACCATCTAACCATAACCCATCTAACCCATCTACCATCTAACCCTAACCTTCCTACCATCTAATCCTAACCCTCCTACGATCTAACCATAACCCATCAACCATCTAACCCTAACCATCCTACCACCTGACCCTAACCCATCTACCATCTAACCCTAACCCATCTACCATCTGTCTGGACTCTCGTCCACTATGTCTGTGTCCTAAAAGGCACCATATTCCCTATATAATGCACTACTTTTGATCAGCGCTCTATGGGCCCTCGTTAAAAGTTGGGACGCAACCTATGACCGACTACATTACCTCATGCCATCACTCCTAAAAGGAAGTAGTTGGCCACTTGATAAATTCTCCAACCCGACTAACAAGAGAATCACTGTTGGCTGAGTCTACACACCACTATACAGTAGGCAAGCTGATAGAGGTCCCATGTAGACAGTCGAGGCCAATAGCAGCCTAACACCAGACAGACCATGCCCACCTGGCACAGACGTCAATTCAACGTCTATTCCATGTTGGGTAAATGTAATTTCATTGAAATGACGTGGAAACAATGTTGATTCAACCAGTGTTTGCCCTGCTGTTTGTGTCGGATACCGCCGTCAGCCCACTAGAAAGCGGATGAGCTAACTGGCCAATTGGCTGCTGACTATGACAATGTTGGGCCACTCATAGGCCACAGTAAGCTTACTGTCAGGGAAGGTTGTAGTCTGTGTATAGGAGACTGTATCCGTTTTCCTTCTGTGAGGACCTCAGGGATAGCCAGAAACATGCCAGTAGCAAAGGCATGGCATGCAGGTGCTTTTAGAGGCCCTAGAGGGGTGTGTGTGTGTGTGTGACTCTATGATGATTGAACCTAGCTCACAGAGTCACTGTAGGATGTTATTATACAGAGGGATACATTCCTAAAACTGTTACTGTCAGAGACCAGCCAATCAGAGGAGAGGTGACTGGTGGCTGATGGGAGTTGTAGTTTTGGTGTAAGATGCAGCGAATTGGCACTTGTGGGAGACTCTGCCTCCAGTCCAGCCCTGTCTACCTGCATACTGTGAGTTGGGAAGGAAATAGAACAAGACTGACAGACATGGAGAGCATAAAACATCTTACACTTACTAAATATGTGAATAAAATGTATATTATAATATATCTATAAAGGCATACATGTCTGTCAGTGTGTATGCATCTTAATGTATAAATAGATGTACACATACATATGCATATATTATACTACAGTTGAAAGTGGAACAGGAAATAATCATATAATATGCAACAAATGGTAAGCCAAAGCAACTTCGCGAGGGCGTTGTTTCCAACACAGATTTTTCTTCGTGCCTTGGTGCGTAGATTTACATTCAATTTTGGTTTATAGATTAAACCTTTCGCCGTATAATGACCTCTGAACTCTGAACTAACCACACCACCTCAAATGACCTACTCGCTTTCTTTGGGTTACTCGCTGTGGTGCAACACACACACAATCCTGTTCTACACACCATGTCTGAGAATGAAGACCCAGACCACAGAGATAAAAACTAAACACAAACAAGAAAAACAAATAAAATGACCAAAGGAGGAGGGAAGAGGGGGATGAGGAGGAAAGGAGGAGGAGAGAAGAGGGGGATGAGGAGGAGGAAAGGAGGAGAGAAGAGGAGGAGAGGAGAAAAGAGGAGAGAAGAAGGAGGAGGAGGAGGAGGAAAAGGAAGGAGGAGAGAAAGAGGGAGGAGAGGAGGAGGAAAGGAGGAGGAGAGAGAGAAGAGGGAGGAAGGAGGAGGAGGAAAGGGAGGAGAGAAGAGGGGATGAGGAGGCAAGAGGAGAGGAGTAAGAGGGGGATGAGGAGGTGAAAGAGAAGAGGAGGAAGAGGGTTGGGTTAGCAGGAATAGGAGGATGAGCTGCTTCAAGCGGGGAATGAGGAGGAAATGAGGATGAGAGAAGAGGTGGATGAGGAGGAAAGGAGGAGGGAGAGAAGAGGGGGATGAGGAGGAAAGGAGGAGGAGAGAAGAGGGGGATGAGGAGGAAAGGAGGAGGAGAGAAGAGGGGGATGAGGAGGAAAGGAGGAGGAGGGCAGAAAATAAGTGCATGATGGGATTGTCTTCACTTTAGGTCCAGGACGTCTTCTTCGAACGAGGTGGAGAGGGTGAAGGGGCTGGCCAATGGCGGGCTCTCCTCTCTAAGCACCACTTTCTCTGGCTCCGCCTCCGAGCTGGACGAGCAGTGCCATTGGATGTCCGAGTCCGTGTCGGCCGACTCCGAGCCCACTCTGATAGGACACATCAGTTTGAATCACTACATCATAATGTAGTGATTCATAATGTTTTACACTCATATCACATATCATTTGAAGTACCTGTATGAGACTTGAACTTCAAGCCAAATCTTCCATACACAAAAATGAGAAACTTCTAGATACGTGTATGAATATTTGTTATTATTATTATTATTATTTGTACCCCCTTTTTCTCCCCAATTTCGTGATTACGATCTTGTCTCATCGCTGCAACTCCACAATCGGCTCGGGAGAGGAGAAGGTCGAGTCATGCGTCCTCCGAAACATGACCCGCCAAGCTGCTCTTCTTAACACCCGCCCGCTTAACCCGGAAGCCAGCTGCACCAATGTGTCGGAGGAAACACCGTTCAACTGACAACCGAAGTCAGCCTGCAGGCGCCCGGCCCGCCAAATGTATGACTTCTAATCACTGCTGCTATCTAGGTTTCTGAGTTGTTGAAGACAATATAGGTCCTTCACCTGTCACTGCTGGTGGAGGTCAATGCCTTTGTCTCTTCCTCAGTGGTCTTCCTGCTCATCTTCCTGTCAGGCTTACTGCTGTCGGGCTTACTGCTGTCAGGCTTACTGCTGTCAGGCTTACTGCTTTCAGGCTTACTTCTGTCGGGCTTACAGCTGTCGGGCTTACTGCTTTCGGACTTACTGCTGTCAGGCTTCCTGCTGTCGGGCTTACTGCTGTCGGGCTTACTACTTGGCTCCTCTGTCAAGCCTGGGAAGAACACACAGAATAAGATCCTTCAGTAAGGGAACGTCATGGCCACTCAGTAAGAACCGACCGTAACACAACCACTCAGTTAACCACTTAGAAAGGAGGAGCACAAATAGCATTATCATCGCTGTGGTGCTTAGAATGGTTCTAGTGGGTTAGAGCAGGTTAGTATGCTGGGATGGTTCTAATGTGCTGGGACGGTTCTAGTGGGTTAGAGCAGGTTAGTGTGCTGGGATGGTTCTAATGTGCTGGGATGGTTCTAGTGGGTTAGAGCAGGTTAGTGTGCTGGGATGGTTCTAATGTGCTTGGATGGTTCTAGTGGGTTAGAGCAGGTTAGTGTGCTGGGATGGTTCTAATGTGCTGGGATGGTTCTAGTGGGTTAGAGCAGGTTAGTGTGCTGGGATGGTTCTAATGTGCTGGGATGGTTCTAGTGGGTTAGAGCAGGTTAGTGTGCTGGGATGGTTCTAATGTGCTGGGATGGTTCTAGTGGGTTAGAGCAGGTTAGTGTGCTGGGATGGTTCTAGTGGGTTAGAGCGGGTTAGTGTGCTGGGATGGTTCTATGGGTTAGAGCAGGTTAGTATGCTGGGATGGTTCTATGGGTTAGAGCAGGTTAGTATGCTGGGATGGTTCTAATTGGTTAGAGCAGGTTAGTGAGCTTGCAACAGAAGGGTTGAAGGTTTCATTCCCTCATGGGAAACATATAGTAAATATACTGTATGCGTCACTGTCACCTGTAGATGCTTGTCGATGGAAACATAACCTACAAGCTAAATGACTATATGGTCACTGTGATGGGAAAGAGGGGGCGACAAGAGCTAATTAAAACTAATTATATTCTAACTTTCTGAATGCTGTGTCAGGTGTGTGTGTGTGTGTGTGTGCGTGCCTGCGTGTGTGTGTGTGCATCTATGTGTGCGTGTGTGTGTGTGCATCTGTGTGTGTGTGTGTAGTCAGGAGTGTGTATGTACAGTCCAGTCTTGGTTTCTCACTCACCCAGAAGCTCCTTGCGGGTGCGGCTAGCGATTTCTTTGATCTCCATGCGGGACAGGGACAGGGTGTGTGAGGCCCCCTGCAATGGGTGCCCCGCGGGGGCTGTCAGGCCCGTCACCACCTTGTTGACCAGTGGGGACTTGAGGGGCCTCTCAATGCTGCGGCCCACTAGGTTACTCAGTGGGATCTTGAAGATGTGCTTACACTGTGTCTCACCTGGAGGGTGGGGGAAGAGTGGGAGGAAAGGAGAGATACAGAGAGAGTGGGGATGGATGGAGAAGGAGAGATACAGAGAGAGTGGGGATGGATGGAGAAGGAGAGATACAGAGAAAGGTATTGCAGTGAGAGAGAGTCACATCATTTCAACACCAGGCAACTTCAGGCAATGACGTTATGGAGACCTCCTTAGACTGGTTAGTTTACCACACGCACGCACACACACACACACACCTTCGCACACACGCACACACACTAGAGGAACATGTGTAAGAACACGAACATGAATAACATTATCATGTCATGTTCCATTCAAGCCTCCTCTATCTAAACTGATTAATAACAGGACTCAGTGACAGGAGTGTGCGATCGACTTATGAATTCATCATCGTCGCCATATCAACACTGTGTAATATAATACGACTACTCCGTTACAGCCACTTACAGCTATCCATCAATTATTCAACATTTGGGATCAATAATTAAACGTCTGTTTGAGTGAAATTAATTGGATACTTAACATCTTCGTAACAGCACCACATTCCAGTTCTCTAGCCTGCTGTATTCCTGTCTCTCTAGTCTGCTGTATTCCAGTCTCTCTAGTCTGCTGTATTCTAGTCTCTCTAGTCTGCTGTATTCCAGTCTCTATAGTCTGCTGTATTCCAGTCTCTATAGTCTGCTGTATTCCTGTCTCTATAGCCTGCTGTATTCCTGTCTATCTAGCCTGCTGTATTCCTGTCTCTCTAGTCTGCTGTATTCCAGTCTCTCTAGTCTGCTGTATTCCAGTCTCTCTAGTCTGCTGTATTCCAGTCTCTCTAGTCTGCTGTATTCCAGTCTCTCTAGTCTGCTGTATTCCAGTCTCTATAGTCTGCTGTATTCCAGTCTCTATAGTCTGCTGTATTCCAGTCTCTATAGTCTGCTGTATTCCAGTCTCTCTAGTCTGCTGTATTCCAGTCTAGTCTGCTTATCCGTCTCTATAGTCGCGTATTCCCGTCTCTCAGTTTTGCTGTATTTCCATCTCCGTTGCTGTATTCCAGTCCTAGTCTGCGTATTCCAGTCTCTTTGTCGTGTATTTCCCGTCTCTATGTCTGTGATTCCGTCTCTCTAGTTGCTGTATTCCAGTTCTTTAAATCTGCTGTATTCCATTTTTCGTCGCTGTATTCTGTCTGCTGTATTCCATCTTTGTCTGTGTTTCCAGTCCTATATTCTGTATTTTCCCGTCCTATAGTGCTGTTTCAGTCTCCTAGTTGCGTATTTCCCGTCTCTCTGTTGCTGATTCCAGTTTTCTTTGCTGTATTCCCCGCTCTCTAGTTGCGTTTCCCGTCTCTTAGTCTGCTGATTCCCCGTCTCTATAGTTGCGTATTTCCGTCTCTATAGTCTGCTGTATTCCATCTCTTTGTTTGCTGATTCCATCTCTCTAGTCTGCTTATTTCCCTTCTATAGTCGCGTATTCCATTTTTTGTTTTTGTATTATCTCTCTAGTCTGTTTTTTGTCTGCTATTCCAGTTCCCCTTTGTCTGCTGTATTCCAGTCTCTCTATCTGCTGTATTCCCGCTCTCTATCTGCTTTTATTCCAGCTCTTAATTGCTGATTCCGTTTATAGTCTGGTATTCCAGCCTTGTTGCTGTATTCCAGTTCCCCTAGTCGCTGTATTTAGTCTGCGTTTTTCCAGTTCTCTAGTCTGCGGGATTCCAGTCTCTATAGTCTGCGTATTTTAGCTCCTTTGTCTCGTATTCCCCCTCTCTTAGTCTCTGTATTTCCAGTTCTTTTTTGCTGTTTCCAGTTTCTAGCTGCTGTATTCCCTCTCTTAGCTGCTGTACCAGTTCATAGCTGCTGTTTCCAGTCTCTATAGTCTGCTGATTCCCCGTCTCTCTAGGCGGCTGTTTCCATTCCCCTTGTCTGCTGTATTCCCTCTCATAGTTGTGTATTTCCCGTCTTTAGTTTGATTTCCCGTCTTATAGTCTGCTGTATTCCGCCCCTATAGTCTGTGTATTCCCCGTTTTAGACTGCGTATTCCAGTTCTCTAGCTGCGTTTTTCCAGTCTCTTGTCTCGTATTCCCCTCTCTCTAGTCTGCGTATTCCCCTTCTTAGTCTGTGTATTCCATTTTTTTCTAGTTCTGTATTCTATCTGCGTATTCCTCTCTAAGTTGCTTATTCTGTCTGCTGTATTTCCCGGCTCTATGTTGCTGTATCCAGTTCTATAGCTGCTGTATTCCGTCCTTTTAGTCTGCTGTATTCCAGTCTCTATAGTCCGGGGTGTATTCCAGTTCTCTAGTCTGCTGTTTCTAGTTCCCCTTTGTTGCTGTATTCCAGTCTCATAGTCTGCTGACCAGTTCTCTAGTTGCTGTTTCCGTCTTTTCTAGTTTCTGTATTCCAGTCCTATGTTCCCGTATTCCCCGCTCAAGGGCTGCTGTTTCCGTTCTCTAGTCTGCGGATTCCAGTCTCTTAAATCTGCTGTATTCTAGTCTGCTGTATTCCCGCTCTCTAGTTTCTGTATTCCCGTTTATAGTTCTATTCCAGTCTTCCCACTGCTGTTTCCCGTCTCTTAGTCTGCTGTTTCCAGTCTTATAGTTTCGTATTCCCTCTTAGTCTGCTGTATTCCAGTCTCTTGTTTTCGTATTCCCGTTTTATGTCTGCTTATTCCAGTTCTATGTTGTGTTTCCAGTCCTCTAGGCGGGTTTTTTCCAGCTCTTAGTCTGTGATTCCACTTAATTGCTTATTCCCGTCCTATAGCTGCTGTATTCCATCTCTATAGTCTGTGTATTCCATCTCTCAGTCTGCTTTTTTAGTTTTAATAGTCTGCTGATTCCGTCTCTATAGTTGCTGTATTCCAGTCTCTCTTTTGTGTATTCCAGTCTCTCTATCTGCTGATTTTGTTTTCTATTTCGTATTCCAGTCTCCTAGCTGCTGTATTCTAGCTGCTTTCCGACTCTAAGTTGCTGATTTAGTTGTGTACCAGCTCTATAGTTGCGTATTTCCCTTCTATAGTTTGTATTCCGTCCTTATATCTGCGATTCCCTCTCTAAGTCTGCTGTATTTCCCCTCTTAAATTGTGTATTCCCGTCTCTCTAGTTGCTGTATTTAGTTTCTTATTGCTGTTTCCAGTCTCTCAAATTGCTGTATTCCGTCTCTTAGTTGCTGTATTTTCCGCCTTTTAGTCTTGGGGTTCCAGTCTTTTTGTCTGCTGTATTTCCGGCTCTCAAAACTGGTATTCCGGCTCTCTATTTGTGTATTCCAGTCTCTATAGTCTGCGTATTCCCGTCTTTTTATGCTTTATTCCCGCTCTCAAATTGCTGTATTCCAGTCTCTATAGTTTCTGTTTCCGTTCTTAGTCTGTTTTCCGTCTCTCTAGTTTTATTCCAGTCTCTCTAGTCTGCTTATTCCAGTTCTTAGTCTGCTGTTTTCCGTCTCTATAGCGCTGTTTTCCTCTTAAGTCGTGTATTTTAGCTCTCATCTGCTGTATTCCCGTCTCTTGTCTGCGGGATTCCCGTTCTTAGTCTGCGTATTTCCCTTCTTATTGCTGTTTCCTCTCTCTGTCTGGTTTTCTAGTTGCTGTTTCCAGCTCTTTGTCGCTGATTTAGTCGTTATTCCAGTCCTATGTCGCTGTATTCCAGTCCTATGTTGCGTATTCCAGTTTTATAGCTGTGTATTCCAGTCTTATAGTCTGCGGGATTCCGTCTCTATAGTCTGCTGATTTCCGTCTCTTGTTTGTTTCTAGTCTCAAGTTTCTGTATTCCAGTCTCCTAGTCTGCTGTTTCCAGTCTCTATAGTTGCTGATTCCATCTCCTAGTCTGCTGATTCCAAATCTCTTAGTCTGCGTATTCCGTCTCTCTAGTCCGTTAACCAAATCTCTTAGTTCTGTATTCCGTCTCTTGTCTGCGTATTTATTTCTGTCGCTGTATTTGCGCTGTATTTGTCTCTCTAGTCGCTGTATTTCCCCTTATAGTCTGGATTCCAGTCTTTAGTCGCTGATTCCAGTTTTCTCTAGTTGCTTATTCCAGTCCTTTTACTGCGATTCCCTTCTATAGTCTGCTGTATTTAGTCTCTGTATTCCCGTTCTTAGATCTGATTCCAGTCTTATGTTGCTGTATTCCAGTCTCTATAGTCTGCTGTATTCCAGTCTCTATAGTCTGCTGTATTCCAGTCTCTATAGTCTGCTGTATTCCAGTCTCTCTAGTCTGCTGTATTCCAGTCTCTCTAGTCTGCTGTTTTCCAGTCTCTCTAGTGTGCTGTATTCTAGTACTCTAGCCTGCTGTATTCCAGTCTCTCTAGTCTGCTGTATTCCAGTCTCTATAGTCTGCTGTATTCCAGTCTCTCTAGTCTGCTGTATTCCAGTCTCTATAGTCTGCTGTATTCCAGTCTCTCTAGTCTGTTGTATTTCAGTCTCTATAGTCTGCTGTATTCCAGTCTCTCTAGTCTGCTGTATTCCAGTCTCTCTAGTCTGCTGTATTCCAGTCTCTATAGTCTGCTGTATTCTAGTCTCTATAGTCTGCTGTATTCTCTCTAGTCTGCTGTATTCCAGTCTCTCTAGTCTGCTGTATTCCAGTGGTAGCTGTAGCAGGGGTGTGTTCTTTAGGCGCCCAACGGAAATAAAAATGACTTAAACAGGGAGGGTCAGCCCAAACTTGTCCAATAAGAATGCTTGTTTTTGATTTCCGTTGCAAAAAAATTGTTACGTTTTTCCCTAATGAACATGATGCATGGTGTATTGGCTTGCAATGGTTAAGACTAACCACTAGGTGGCAGTGAATGCTCATATTCTAATGCAGCGTTCCACTTGATCAAGACAGGATGGCAATACTAACACACACACAGCTATGTGACTGTCTGATGCGATGGAAGGCTGCACTGCGCCAAACAGACCGCCGTTCTGAAATGTCACGGGGTCAAAGGTGAAGAAAACAGCATTATAGGAGAGAGGGGGTCATTCCTTTTGTTATGACAGGTTAACTGACTCACTGTTACCGACCCCTCTCTCCCGTAACAATACCAGACAGACAGAAATGTTAATAATAAACCAAATAGATATGAAATACCAACAAAAGGAAGCATGCAACCATCTGGGATCTATAATTGCTTGAATCTATATATTCCACATGCGTTTCTGCTCCAGGGTAAATAACCTAGAATCTAACAAAGTAAAGGCTGCATAAGAGTACTGAATATTTGATTTGTTATGTTTTGTAACTGTCCAATCCTCCAATCAGAATAGGATATGATTTCATGATTAAACATGGTTCAGTCTCTTCATCTTGTATTCACATGTTACTGATGTCAACAAATTTGATCTCAAACTGAGACAATTGTCTACCAATTGAAAAGCACCTCTACCCATAGAGCAGAAACGGCAGGCATAGGCAGTTGGTTAGAGGATGGGAATTTTGTCAGCCCCCCCCTCCCTCCATCACTCCCTTCTTCCCCCCAGATTGTGGCACCTCTATTTAGACCACCACTCTGAATGGGAGAGGAGGCTTTGACAAAAGTTTCCATGGTGACAGTGCAATCTGTAAATCATGCTGCGGCAGACGTGTCTTCTCCACCCCTCTGTCTCTCTCTCTCTTTCTCTCTTTCATTCCCCCTCTTCTCTCTCTCTCTCAAACATTCTCCCATCTTTCTCACACGCATACCTTTCTGAATCCGCATCTCTCTACCTCTCTCTCTACCTCCCTCCCCCTCTCTATCCTCCATTTCTTTTTTCCTTGTTAGTTTTTCACTCTCTCCATTTTCCAGTCACTCTGACAGAGAGAAGGGGGATGGCGAAGACACATAATGTTCACTTAACATTCAACTGACGTTCAGTCAAACATGCCGCTTCAAAAAATAAAAAAAATAAAGGTGAGTTTTTTCCCGTGCATGTTAGTAGGGCAGAATGTGCAGGTAGATGTTAACACTGAAGAGGGAGGGCTGTGGCCCAAATGGCACCTGATTCCCTATATAGTGCACTACTTCTGACCAGGGCTATATAGGGAAAAGGATGCCATTTGGGACAAACCGGAGGAGTAGTGGGAGACTCCTTGAAGTACCTTCGGCATCCTTAGACATGTACAGGGATAGCTTGGTACCATAGGGGATCCGTATAGAATCTGAACCAGGGACCAAGAACAAGGTTATGTAATACACACACACACACACACACTCTGGTATGACAGAACACACACATTCAGTAGTATTAACACCACCACCCCCAAAGCAGGAAAGATCAACGTTACAGGGATGTGATTGGTTGTAGTAGTGTTCCAAGACTAGAGTTGACCAATAGAATAAAAGAGGAAGGACCCAATAGAAGATGGCTGAATCTTAAAGGGGAACTCCACTCAAAAACTATCTTGTGGTATCATGATGATGTGGCAAGTGACACTTTGCGTCTTGAAAGTCCAAGATCTTGAAAACTTGACTGCTGACATGCAAAACATTTTGGGACTGTATCAACAATGGACTATGAAAAAAAATAAGATAGTTTTTGAGTGGAGTTCCCCTTTAACCCCTCAAAGTGCCCTCTATACTGTACTACACCCTTACCCCTCTAAAGCCCAGTTCAGGTCCCATGCTATATACTACACCCTTCACCCTCTAAAGCCCAGTTCAGGTCCCATGCTATATACTACACCCTTACCCCTCTAAAGCCCAGTTCAGGTCCCATGCTATATACTACACCCTTCACCCTCTAAAGCCCAGTTCAGGTTCCATGCTATATACTACACCCTTACCCCTCTAAAGCCCAGTTCAGGTCCCATGCTATATACTACACCCTTACCCCTCTAAAGCCCAGTTCAGGTCCCATGCTATATACTACACCCTTACATTTACATTTACATTTTAGTCATTTAGCAGACGCTCTTATCCAGAGCGACTTACAGGAGCAATTAGGGTTAAGTGCCTTGCTCAAGGGCACAACGACAGATTTTTCACCTAGTCGGCTCGGGGATTAGAACCAGCGACCTTTCGGTTACTGGCACAACGCTCTTAACCACTAAGCTACCTGCCGCCCCTACACCCTTACCCCTCTAAAGCCCAGTTCAGGTCCCATGCTATATACTACACCCTTACCTCTCTAAAGCCCAGTTCAGGTCCCATGCTATATACTACACCCTTACCCCTCTAAAGCCCAGTTCAGGTCCCATGCTATATACTACACCCTTACCCCTCTAAAGCCCAGTTCAGGTCCCATGCTATATACTACACCCTTACCCCTCTAAAGCCCAGTTCAGGTCCCATGCTATATACTACACCCTTACCCCTCTAAAGCCCAGTTCAGGTCCCATGCTATATACTACACCCTTACCCCTCTAAAGCCCAGTTCAGGTCCCATGCTATATACTACACCCTTACCCCTCTAAAGCCCAGTTCAGGTCCCATGCTATATACTACACCCTTACCCCTCTAAAGCCCAGTTCAGGTCCCATGCTATATACTACACCCTTACCCCTCTAAAGCCCAGTTCAGGTCCCACGCCCAACTCTCTGTCCAGAGTAACACACCAGCACTCTGTAGTGTTAGTGTGAGTGTGTGCATGCATATGAAGTGTCTGTCACACACACTAACTACTGCAGTCCCCGCAGGAATAGAAGTGAGGTTACCCAAAATGACACAGATGAAGTGTGCATTTCCAATTGTGTTGTCATCCTAGAATGTGATTGGTTGCTAGGCGAGGCTTACCGTCTCCGAGCGGCGATGGGAACACGGGCATCTCGTAGCCGGTGGGCGTCTGTGGGGAACTCTGGGAACTGGTGTCCCGGGAGCTGCAGTTGGAGGCAGAGTTGACCGGAGCGGACGACACAAAGTAGATGTCTGACTGAAGGAGGGGATGGGGGAGAGGGACAGGGAGAGATGAAGGGATTGAAATAAATGGAGAGGAGGAACAAAAGTGGAGAAGAAGAAAGATTAATAGAGGTAGTTGGAGAGAGAGAGAGTGAAAGAGAACGCGGGAAAAGATGAAGAGGGCAATAAAGAGAGAGAAAGAGAGAGAGAGGTGTTGCTTAGTGAAATAACGCCATCACCTGTCTTAGGTTCTGAACAAACAGAGTAAAAACTCAAACGGACAACTAGGAAAAGCTCAAACCAAATGTATTCACCCACTGGGTCATATAGATGCAAAGACAAAGCATGATTACACAAGCACATATATTTATAACCTCCTACTAGGCGTGGTCAACTCCTTACACATCTAGACAGCCAATACATCTCTGTTGCTAGACAGGAACTTAATTGGTTCCTCTTACTGGTGTAGTCATGGCCCTGCCTGATGCTAGAACCTTCGTGGGCATGGAAATGTATGTGTGTGACATAGGACTATAGTAGGAGGGTCGTTGGGGTGGGCCCCTCTGGCCCCCCTCCCAGAGGTTTCTTCTCACTTCATCTGTTGACTTGACCTCGAGCCGAATTTCTCGATCCTCCCTAGTTCCGCAGCCTGCCTTATCAGAGATGAGCTATTACCCTTCGCCTACCTCCTTAGAAACATGTGAACAGAATATGAACTTTCTGCACTTCCCTTTGTCTCACTCAGTAACTTTCCATACTCCAAGTTCCTATCACCCTTCATTGACCCCAACATATACATTCCTTATACATATAAAGTAATCAATAAGTTATATTTTGGTAACATGAATAAGTATATTTCAAGCTAGAATCCAACACCTGCTACAACAACATGATGACGTAGTGTTTCGTATGTTAAATGGTACAGTCTGCATGTATCCTTCTGTTGTGTATGAGTTGTGTGTTTGATAGTGTTTCTGTGTGGTCCCTGTTTGCAAAACAAATTTCCCTCCGGGATAATAAAGATTGATTGAAATAAGATTGCTGAGAATGTTGCTTCTAAAAATACACACACACACATGCTCAAAAGCGCACGCACACACACACTTTCGCTCCCTCTTTCTCTTTTGTGTTGTGTAGGAAGAGCGCTTTATAACTCAGATTCATTACCATCATGATTGGACACTTCCACCTGTCAGTCAAACTCACCCTGGAGGCAGTCAGCTGGAGCTCTGGTACGACAGCTGTGTAGACCAGGTTACCGTTGACAACCAGCCGGATCTCAATGGAGTCAGTAGTAAAGGCCAAGATGTAGGGGAACGCACATACTGTAAAACAACAACAATAATAACAACAACATTCTGAAGAACAACACCTGGCGGAGCTGATAGATTTGGATAGATCATTTGGATAGATGATAGATGTTAGGTAATGTCCTAATAAATGAATCCTAAGGGGAAAATTGGTTTGTCAAAGCAGCATGACAGTACAAACATACCCATACTCACATAAGATAAACTGTAGCTTGTGTCACAATAATTTAAATCTCTTTAGCCAGCCATTCTCTGCTTTCATCATCAGAAACAAACACACACACAAGAGACACAGACAAACACACACACAGAGACACAGACAAACACACACACAGACACAGACAAACACACACAGAGACACAGACAAACACACACACAGAGACACAGACAAACACACACACAGACACAGACAAACACAGACACAGAGACACAGACAAACACACACACAGAGACACAGACAAACACACACACAGAGACACAGACAAACACACACACAGACACAGACAAACACAGACACAGAGACACAGACAAACACACACACAGATACAGACAAACACAGACACAGAGACACAGTCAAACACACACACAGAGACACAGACAAACACACACAGAGACACAGACAAACACACACACAGAGACAGACAAACACACACACACAGAGACACAGACAAACACACACACAGAGACACAGACAAACACACTTGACGACCTAGCCTGGGTGGCCACCCGCTGCGTGTTACCATGGCGACAGCGCTCAGGCCGGGCCCGGAGGCTGGGCTGACCAAGGGAGGGAGCGGGGCTTTGGGAGGGGTGGCGAGGGGTGGGGCCGCTGGTTGCTATGGTTACCAGTGCTACTCACCGATGGCGTTGGGCATCTGGTTCCAGCTGAAGTGTAAGTCAGAGGCGTTAGACTGGATCATGGGGGTGGAGCCATTGAACAGACACACTTTCTTATAGGAACAGATATCTGGGGAACATATGAGATAAACAGTATTAGAATGTATATATTAGTGCCCAGATATGTCTTTATACCATGTAATTGTTAAGTAATTATAGGAACAAGTATCTGCACAGAAAGACGAGTTTAGAAACATAAGTCTAAATATAGAAACACAGTCGTTAACCTCGTATTTATAGGAACAGATATTTGGGTGTTGAGGACAATGGATAATATATATTAAAACGTTACTACACCCTCAGAATTAAAGGTTTAGACTTGTTCCTAAAGGGGTACAACCGCTTGTCACTGGGGTGGTACCCTGTAAGGTCCTCCTTTGTACTTTTAGTTATAGGTGCATAATTGTACCTCAATTCATACTTCAGGGAGTACCTTTATCAAAGGTACAAAAGCATACTTTTTGTCTTTATATCATAACACCACAGTGACAAAGCCCCTGTAAGTGGTTGACATGTACTTCTGATAGACCACTTAAACTGGTACAACACTTCCACTCATGGGTGGCCAAAAATAACTAATGAATGCCACGCCCCCACTAAGCCATGCCTCCAATATCATTTCCCAGTGTGCCTTGCCTTTTGAATTGTAGAGTTACCAACCATGACTGTATTTGTTAGTTCCTTTTCAGTCCTGTGGCCTTCACCAACTGAATTCCTGGGAATATGTTATTATTATAATTAAACTCTTTATGACAATACATTTAATATCTCATAAGGCCTTATTTTGAGGCATAGTTTTACCCTAATACAGCCTGCAAGTAGGCTTGCAAAATTCTGTTAACTTTCCCCAAATTCCCAGATTTCCAAAAACATTCTGGTTGAAGGATTTCTTGCTTATTCCCAACCTGGGAAATTTGGTACCTTGCTAAGTGATTTGTAATTCATATTGGAATCCAGCAAGTGTTACGATATCCAACAATTGGTATTTTTATTCACCCGCAACTTGCATTCATAATTACTGTCAGGGTTAGGAATATTGTGAGGAGACTACCTAAGCCATTTAAACTAGAACAACCATTTCAGTAATGGGTGCAATACATCTAACTAACTGATTGGATTAGTTTAGAAAAATGTATGTTATTTACCTTTGTGTAGCATAATATTAATCAATCCATCAAGTACATGCAAAAACAGATATTAAAAGCAATTCTCAAAAAATCAACCTGAAGTAGAGCATGCTGAGAAATACAAATGTGCCTTTTTAGTGTAACACCCCAGTGACAAAGCCAGTAGTTCCTTTTAGGTGGCAGAAATTCATCATTGTACCTTATGGTGGGTATTAAGGGTATTGAGGGTACACAAAATACGTTTGTACCCTGAGAAACAGAAATTTACCTTCACATTGTACCCCTTTTTTTTGTGTAATTGCAGCTTAAAAAAAAATATGGGGTACAAAAATGTACCATTATACTCTTTATCCGCACATGTACCCTAAAAGGTACCGAACAGTACCATGTGACATCATTATGTGTACCTATGAAGGTACATTATGTGTATTTTGATAAAAATTGTTGTAACCCAACTAACAACACCGTACCATTATTTTCTAAGAGTGTAGAAACACCCCAGATAAATGGAGACTCACAATTGTAACACAACAAAAGACCAGCCTCCCCATCCTCGTACACGTCGATGGCTGCCACAAAGTTGACCTGTGTGCACACGGCAGAGAAGAACACTGTATTGAATTCATTCTATTCAATTATCATTCATTGGTCCATCTGTAACTGTTCTCCTCTAAACTGTAACTCTTCCCCTTCATTGTTGAGCTCTCTTCTCAGTCAACCAACCAGGTAAGTGGAAGGTAAACTGAAGGTAAATAACAACATAAATCATGTTGGTAGGAGGTCTCACCCGATTGGCGTCTACATGGTGTAGCCGGTATGCGTCCCCGGTGCTCTCGTTGATCAGGTCAAACTGGTGTTTGTAGGCCACACAGATCATGTTGTCATTCTCCCCTGTAGGACCGTCCACCAGGGCCATGACTACTGGAGGATCACACAGACAGATCTCCTGGGGGGAGGGGGGGGGCAGGTCAGGAGGATGGGCCTCACACAGGTGCGTGTGTGTGTGTGTGTGTATGTGTGTGTGTGTGTGTTCACCCGTATGTACTGGAACTGGTCCACGGGTGAGTCGGTTGCAGCAGTGAGGGTGTCAAGGCGGGGCTGTTTCCTGGTGATGAGGAGGAGCTTATTCCTGATGGCCGCCACAATCCTCAACTCTGACCCATGGTGAGTGTTGATGGAGTACAGGTGACACCCTGGGAGAGGGAAGGAGAGAGAGGATAAAGGTGTGTGTGAAGAGGGGAGGAATATGTTTGAGTGGTTAGCTACAGTATGGAATTATTACTCTGAGTACATTCCTCTTTGAGTGCTGCTGCTATCCATCCCAAACCCAGCTAATCCCTACCATTGTGACGCAGAGTTGTCTAAATGCTTCAGCAAATGTACATCACACCAGGGGCATCGGTAGACACAATTAAAGTAACCTAATTTATGTCCCTATAACTGCCCTGAATGCCTCTGCTGATCCTACAGCTATTGTATGCAGTAATCATGTGCCTAGGAACCAGATTTATACTGTTAGCACTGAGCCGGTGTGCCCGAGGAGGAAGTCCACTGTGTGCAGCTCACCCTGCACTAACATAAAGAACATGAGCACATCTACTGCTGCTAAGCTTCCCAGTAAAGCAATAAAAACAAGTAATCATCCCAGAAGAAAAGTGCTCAAAATAGCCCACGTTAACATATGTAGCTTAAGAAACAAGGTTCATGAAATCAATAATTTGCTAGTAACAGATGCCATTCATATTCTGACTCTGAAACTCACTTAGATAATACATTTGATGATACAGTGTTAGCAATACAAGGTTATAACATTTACAGAAAATATAGAAATGCCAATGGTGGAGGTGTTGCTGTTTATATTCAGAACCACATTCCTGTGAAGATTAGAGAGGATCTCATGTTAAATACTGTTGAAGTAATATGGCTACAGGTTCATCTACCTCACCTAAAGCCCATTCTGGTGGGAAGCTGCTATAGACCACTGAGTGCTAACAGTTAGTATCTGGAAAACATGTGTGAAATGCTTGATAATGTATGTGATATCAGTAGAGAGGTATACTTTCTGGGTGATTTCAAATCAAATCAAATCAAATTTTATTGGTCACATGCGCCGAATACAACAGGTGCAGACATTACAGTGAAATGCTTACTTACAGCCCTTAACCAACAGTGCATTTATTTTAAACAAAAAAGTAAGAATAAAAACAACAACAAAAAAGTGTTGAGAAAAAAAGAGCAGAAGTAAAATAAAGTGACAGTAGGGAGGCTATATATACAATAAAATAAAGTGACAGTAGGGAGGCTATATATACAGGGGGGTACCGTTGCATAGTCAATGTGCGGGGGCACCGGCTAGTTGAGGTAGTTGAGGTAATATGTACATGTGGGTAGAGTTAAAGTGACTATGCATAAATACTTAACAGAGTAGCAGCAGCGTAAAAAGGATGGGGTGGGGGGGCAGTGCAAATAGTCCGGGTAGCCATGATTAGCTGTTCAGGAGTCTTATGGCTTGGGGGTAGAAGCTGTTGAGAAGTCTTTTGGACCTAGACTTGGCACTCCGGTACCGCTTGCCGTGCGGTAGCAGAGAGAACAGTCTATGACTAGGGTGACTGGAGTCTTTGACAATTTTGAGGGCCTTCCTCTGACACCGCCTGGTATAGAGGTCCTGGATGGCAGGGAGCTTTGCCCCAGTGATTGACTGGCTTTCATCAGGCTGCCCACTCAAGAGAAAGCTTCAAACTGTAACCAGTGCCTGCAACCTGGTTCAGGTTATCAGTCTACCTACCAGGGTAGTTACAAACAGTACAGGCGTATAAATCATCAACATGTATTGATCATATCTTTACTAATGCTGCAGAGATTTGTTTGAAAGCAGTATCCAAATCCATTGGATGTAGTGATCACAATATAGTAGCCATATCTAGGAAAACCAAAGTTCCAAAGGCTGGGCCTAATATTGTGTATAAGAGGTCATAGAACAAGTTTTGTAGTGATTCCTATGTTGTTGATGTAAATAATATATGTTGGTCTGTGGTGTGTAATGAGGAGCAAACAGACACATTTATGAAATTGCTTATTCCAGTTACTAATAAGAAAATGACTGTAAAAACTGTTAAATCCCCGTGGACTGATGAGGAATTGAAGAATTGTATGGTTGAGAGGGATGAGGCAAAAGGAATGGCAAATTAGTCTGTCACGGATTCTGCCGAGGCTGCTCCTCCTCCTAGTTCGGGCAGGCTTCGGCGTTCGTCGTCCCCGGAGTACTAGCTGCCACCGTTGAATGTTTCTATGTTTGATTGCTTTTGTCTGTCTATTACACCTGTGTCCGTTTGTGTTTGATTACGTGTTCTATAAGTTGCCTGTTTTGTATTGGTTAGGTTGTGTGTTGTTTTTCGCCTGTCCGTAGTGCTGCGTGTTTGTCTCTGTTTTGTTGTTTTATTGTTTTACGCATAGTTGCGTAATTGCTCGCCTCTGTTTTGTTTTGAGGCCGATCATTGTATCTTTGCCTTGTGGTTTCACAAGTAAACTTTGTTGGACTAAGCTTCGGTGTCCTGCGCCTGACTCCCACACCACATACACCTCAGCCTTGACATAGTCTGGCTGCACAACTGATTGGCAAACGTATTGCAAATTGAGAAATCATGTGATTAAACTGAATAAAAGAAGAAGAAACTACTCTATGAAACAAAGATAAATGACATAAAGAATGATAGTAAAAAGCTTTGGAGCACCTTAAATTACATTTTGGGAAAAAAGGCAAACTCAGCTCCATCATTCATTGAATCAGATGGCTCATTCATCACAAAACCAACTGATATTGCCAACTACTTTAATTATTTTTTCATTGGCAAGATTAGCAAACTTAGGCATGACATGCCATCAACAATTGCTGACACTACACATCCAAGTATATCTGACCAAATCATGAAAGACGAACGTTGTAATTTTGAATTCCGTAAAGTGAGTGTGGAAGAGGTGAAAAAATGATTGTTGTCTATCAACAATGACAAGACACCGGTCTCTGACAACTTGGATGGAAAATTACTGAGGATAATATCGGACGATATTGCCTCTCCTGTTTTCCATATTTTCAATTTAAGCCTACTAGAAAGTGTGTGCCCCCAGGTTTGGAGGTAAGCAAAAGTCATTCCGCTACCTAAGAATAGTAAAGCCCCCTTTACTGGCTCAAATAGCCGACCAATTAGCCTGTTACCAAGCCTTAGTAAACTATTGGAAAAAATTGTGTTTGACCAGATACAATGCTATTTTACAGTAAACAAATTGACAACAAACTTTCAGCATGCTAATAGAGAACGACATTCACTCAAGCACAGCACGTACACAATTGACTGATGATTGGCTGAGAGAAATGTATGATAAAAAGATTATGGGGGCTGTTTTGTTAGACTTCGTAGTCTGCTGCTGGAAAAACGTAAGTGTTATGGCTTTACTCCACCTGCTATATTGTGGATACAGAGTTACCTGTCTAACAGAACACAGAGGGTGTTCTTTAATGGAAGCCTCTCCAACATAATCCAGGTATAATCAGGATTTCCCCAGGGCAGCTGTCTAGGCCCATTACTTTTTTCAATCTTTACTAATGACATGCCACTGGCATGAGTAAAGCCAGAGTGTCTATGTATACGGATGACTCAACACTGTCCCCTGTAGCTCAGTTGGTAGAGCATGGCGCTTGCAACGCCAGGGTTGTGGGTTCGTTTCCCACGGGGGGCCAGTATGAAAATGTATGCACTCACTAACTGTATGTCGCTCTGGATAAGAGCGTCTGCTAAATGACTAAAATGTAAAAATACATGTCAGCTACTACAGCGACTGAAATGACTGCAACACTTAACAAAGAGTTGCAGTTAGTTTCAGAGTGCGTGGCAAGGAATAAGTTAGTTCTAAATATTTCAAAAACTAAAAGCATTATATTTGGAAGAAATCACTCACTAAACTCCAAACCTCAATTAAATCTTGTAATAAATAACGTGGAGATTGAGCAAGTTGAGGTGACTAAACTGCTTGGAGTAACCCTGGATTGTAAACTGTCATGGTCAAAACATATTGATACAACAGTAGCTAAGATGGGGAGAAGTCTGTCCATAATAAAGCGCTGCCTTCTTAACAGCACTATCAACAAGGCAGGTCCTACAGGCCCTAGTTTTATCGCACCTGGACTACTGCTCAGTCGTGTGGTCAGGTGCCACAAAGAGGGACATAGGAAAATTGCAATTGGCTCAAAACAGGGCAGCACGGCCCTTGGATGTACACAGAGAGCAAACATTAATAATATGCATGTCAATCTCTCCTGGCTCAAAGTGGAGGAGAGATTGACTTCATCACTGCTTGTGTTTGTGAGAGGTGTTGACATGTTGAAAGCACCGAGCTGTCTGTTTGAACGACTGGCACACAGCTCAGACATCCATGCATACCCCACAAGACAGGCCACTAGAGGTCTCTTCACAGTCCCTATGTCCAGAACAGACTATGGGAGGCGTACAGTACTACATAAAGCCATGACTACCTGGAACTCTATTCCACATCAGGTAACTGATGCAAGCAGTAGAATCAGATTTAAAAAACAGATACAAATACACCTTATGGAACAGCGGGGACTGTGAAGCAACACAAACATAGGCACAGACACATGCATACACACACATGATAACATACGCTCAATACACAAACCTACACATGGATTTTGTGTTGTAGATATGTGGTAGTGGAGTAGGGGACTGAGGGCACACACTTAGTGTGCTGTGAAATCGGTTATGAATGTTTTGTAATGTTTTAAAAAATGTATAAAAGGCAGCAGCTAAGGGGAATCCACAATAAATACAAATACAAATCCCTCTGCTATACAATCCAAGGTAGTTAACCCCCAACAGCAACTGCTCCCCGGGCGCCGATGATGTGGACGTCTCCTCCCTGAGTGGCCTATTGGCTTTGGTCCTTACATACAGTCTATAAATGCTGCAGGTTCTATTCCTCCTTCTCCTTTTCTATCACACACACACACCACCCCACCCGATACACACACACAAATGTAGTGGAGGTTGTATTGGGGAGGCCATACAGACAGTGTAGGGGGTGTGTTGTAACAGAGGTAGGTCCTCTCCCCAGGGACTTCCCTACAGATAGATCAATGCTGTGGCTGTGGCCCGGGGCCGAATGCTCTCCTCTACTACACCTCACTGAGCTGCCTGGGAATGGGACTGCTCTGAGTGTGTGAGTGTGTATTAAGCATACATATATAAACATACATGTTTTATATATTATGCATTTATGTGTGTGTGCATGCGTGCATGTTCGTGAGTATGCATGCATGTGTATGTGTGTGTGTGTGTGCAGAGGCGTGATGCACAAATTTGTCCTGTGTTTAAATTTTTCTGATTTAAAATTAATTACTAAACATTTTAAGCCCACGTTTTAACATCATTATTTGTTAAAAGATCTGTCAGCGGTATTTGCAGCGGGGGCACACTGATTGGACCAGGTAAGGTGTGTGTCTGTGTGTGTGTGTGTCTGTGTGTGTGTGTGTCTGTGTGTGTGTGTCTGTGTGTGTGTGTCTGTGTGTGTGTGTGTGTGTGTGTGTGTGTGTGTGTGTGTGTGTGTGTGTGTGTGTCTGTGTGTGTGTCTATGTGTGTGTCTGTGTGTGTGTGTGTCTTTGTGTGTGTGTGTGTCTGTGTGTGTCTGTGTGTGTGTGTGTACCTTTGGTCTTCTCCAGTTTGTTCTCTCGACTGTCACACTTGGTGCGGACCAGCTGCCTCTCCTCCAGGCCTCTCTTGAGCATGCTCAGTCTGAACACATAGAGACGCGCATCCTTCCCTGGAAAACAACACAACAAAACATCCTCATTAAAGCTAATCTGGGATTTGTGTTTCAGCCCAAAGGTAGCCCTGAGATTTAAGACGAGGGACAGGGATTGAGAAATGTAACCAGCGTCAAATTAATAAACACAGCTGTGGCCTGACAGTCCATGAAATCAACATGATATAATATGCAAATATTCCAGATTGAATCTTTAATAACATTTAAATAAATGTTATTCTGTTTTACATGTTTCTTCCACTGTAGTCTGTATCCACCCATGAACCACCCGTGTTCATACACAAAAATGTATGCACGCATGACTGTAAGTCGCTTTGGATAAAAGCGTCTGCTAAATGGCTTATTATTATTATTATTATTCTGACACATGTAGCATATTAAAGGCCCAATACAGCCGTTTTTATATCAATATCAAATTATTTCTGGGTAACAATTAAGTACCTTACTGTAATAGATTTCCAATAAAAATGGCAAAAATTGCTTTTTAGCAAAAAACTATTTATCAAGCAAGACTTTTGCTAAGACTGTCTGGGAGTGTTCTGAATAGGGAGGGGGAAACTGAAAACTAGATGTTATTGGCAGAGAGGTTTGGAACTCTCTTTGTTATTGGTCTATTAACCAATTTACTGCATGGTGATGACACCATGGAATGCCGAATCTCCCGCCCATGCAAACCTGCTGATCAGAGGGTCCTGTGTAAATCGTATTTTCAACCAGTAACTATCAGGAAATAGCACTGATATAATATAAAACACAGGAAAATCAAGGGGTTTTTGACTGCACTGGGCCTTTAACAGAATGCAATTTCTGAACTATTTCCACAACATGTTGTGTGAGATTAAAATAGGCTTAATTAAATATCTATGTAATCCTAACACTGGTAGCAGCTAATTTAAAGAGATGCTCTGTCACAATTTAGTGAGTTCTGTCTGTCATTATTATGGTGCATGAATTACAATGTATGGAAATACAAGACTGGCATACAAGATTGGCATGTGTGATTGGTACTATAAAACAACTGTATGATAGAACTCATCTGGAATGGAAATCCTTGCAAAAGTTTAATTTAAATTCAAACAAGCTGCATTGGCATGGACATTTCTTCTGTTATGTCTGTATGTCTGTCTCTGTGTGTATCCGTCTGTTTCTCTCTTTCACTTCCTTCATATTTGTCCCTCTCTCTCTCTCTTTCTCTTTTTTCTCTCTCCCTCTCTAATACCAGTGGGAAGTGCATCTCAATAGGTCAACCCAGAACCTGGTCCTGCAGGACGGACACACACACAGCAGTCTATAGGGGGTGGATGTGTATAGGTCAGCCTCCTCAGACCACAGAGGGAGATCAATGTGTTCGATAGAGCGACTGAGAGACAAGTAAACAACCTAAAATACACAAGGAGAGAGAGGGATTGAGGTAGGGAGAAAGAGAGGGAGAGAGAGAGGGAGAGAGAGAGGGAGAGAGAGTGAGAAAGAGAGGGAGAGAGAGGGGGAGGGATGTCGAGAAAGGTGGGTAGGAGTGGAAGGAGGGAAATAGAAAAAGAGATAGAGAAGGTGAGGGAGAGAAAGAGGAGGAAGCAGATGAAAATACAAAGGGAGAGAAATATACAGTGCATTCGGAAAGTATTCAGACCCCTTGATTTTTCCACATTTTGTTACGTTACAGCCTTATTCTAAAATTGATTAAATAAAACATTTTCTTCATCATTCTACACACAATATCCCGTAATTACAAAGCGAAAACAGGTCTTAAGAAATGTTTGCATTTACATAAGTATTCAGACCGTTTGCTATGAGACTCGAAATTGAGTTCAGGTGCATCCTGTTTCCATTGATCATCCTTGAGATGTGTCTACAACTTGATTGGAGTTCACCTGTGGTAAATTCAATTGATTGGACATTAATTGGAAAGGCACACACCTGTCTAAATAAGGTCCCACAGTTGACAGTGCATGTCAGAGCAAAAACCAACCCATGAGGTCGAAGGAATTGTCTGTAGAGCTCCGAGACAGGATTGTGTTGAGGCACAGATCTGGGGAAGGGTACCAAAAAATGTCTGCAGCATTGAAGGTCCCCAAGAACACAGTGGCCTCCATCATTCTTAAATGGAAGAAGTTTGGAAACACCAAGACTCTTCCTAGAGCTGGCTGCCTGGCCAAACTGAGCAACTGGGGGAGAAGGGCCTTGGTCAGGGAGGTGACCAAGAACCCAATGGTCACTCTGAGAGCTCTAGAGTTCCTCTGTGGAAATGGGAGAACCTTCCAGAAGGACAACCATCTCTGAAGCACTCCACCAAATCAGGCCTTTATGGTAGAGTGGCCAGATGGAAGCAACTCCTCAGTAAAAGGCACATGACATCCCGCTTGGAGTTTGCCAAAAGGCACCTAAAGGACTCTCAGACCATGAGAAACAAGATTCTCTGGTCTGATTAAACCAAAATTGAACTCCTTGGCCTGAATGCCAAGCGTCACGTCTGGCGGAAACCTGGCACCATCCCTACGGTGAAGCATGGTGGTGGCAGCATCATGCTGTGGGGAGGTTTTTCAGCATCAGGGACTGGGAGACTAGTCAGGATCGAGGGAAAGATGAACGGCGCAAAGTACAGAGAGGTCCTTGATGGAAACCTGCTCCAGAGCGCTCAGGACCTTAGACTGGGGCGAAGGTTCACCTTCCAACAGGACAACGACCCTAAGCAAACAGCCAAGACAACGCAGGACTGGCTTCAGGACAAGTCTCTGAATGTCCTTGAGTGGCCCTGCCAGAGACCGGACTTGAACCCGATCAAACATCTCTGGAGAGACCTGAAAATAGCTGAGCAGCGACGCTCCCCATCCAACCTGACAGAGCTTGAGAGGATCTGCAGAGAAGAATGGGAGAAACTCCCCAAATACAGGTGTGCCAAGCTTGTAGCGTCATATCCGAGAAGACTTTGAGGCTGTAATTGCTGCCAAAGGTGTTTCAACAAAGTACTGAGTAAAAGGTCTGAATACTTATGTAAATGTGATATTTCAGTTTTGTATTTTTTATAAATTTGCAAACATTTCTAAAAACCTGTTTTTGCTTTGTCATTATGGGGTATTCTGTGTAGATTGATGAGGGGAAAAAACTATTCAAGCAATTTTAGAATAAGGCTGTAAAGTAACAAAACGTGGAAAAAGTCAAGGGGTCTGCATACTTTCCGAATGCACTTTATGGGAATGGAGGAATGGAGCGAAAGAAGCAGTATTAATGAAGTGAAAGACAGTATGGAGGAAAGCTGCTAGGTCTAATTAAGGATAGTACCCACCTTTGTCAGCCCTGGTGATGAGGAGGTCCTGAGGCTCTACAACATGTATCTGTTTCACCACCATTGTCTTATCAAACACCTGCACTGGGGGCAGGACCTGGGCGTCTACAAACACAACACAACAGAACACAACACAACACAATGCATTTCTCTATTGGTTATTCAGCACCACCCAGTATTATTAGTGGATCTTACCAACTTATTGGAAACACTGATATTGTTGCTGCAATAATGAAACCCTTGGCTGATATAGTTGGCTGAAAGGTGATGTAGGCTTATTCAATAATAAGGCGTTGTAACACTGAATGGGGAGAGTTGAGTGTGTT